TATCGAGCTGTGGTAAAAATTGACCCATATCAGATTCGAAAGTTCTCCTACAGTAAAATGCATCCTGTATCCCGAGAGTTATTGCCGCTCATAGAAAACCAATTTTTACACCTTGAGTAAAACTACTGCTGAAGTTAAAACAGTGGAGTGTTTAGCATTTTATTGCATAAGATAACTTTATCTACTAACCACATATTGTAGGTCTGTGGTGATTGCACAGAGCTCCTACAGCATTTCCTTCCCGTTCCGTTCTCTTGGATGGGCCAGGACACGTTGTTGGCTCTCCCATTTCTTCGCTGAACACGTACTGCACACATACTGAACGACAGCAGCAGCTCCCTCCTCTGCCTTCAGCTGTGCCTTCCCTAGGCGGCAGCCACACTGAGGACAAAACCGAAACAGCGACATAAGCATACGGCCCTGCACGATGAAAAACTTGTCCATGATGGCCTCATCCGTCTCCTCAACATCTCCCGATACAGTATTCGAATTTTCGCTTGTCCTGTGCTCCATCACCTAAATCCACATTCACTGATGCAGAAATGGTAACAACGAGTTTCCAACCATAAATCGTCTTATTGTCCTTTGCACACTCCGTCTCCTCTCCCTCATCCCTCCCTTGGATTCAAGGCTTGCTGCGACACACACTAGGAACATCGTCGAGTCCGTCACCTCGGTACGCTGTTACTAGAGCCTCTGAGATCCTCTCTTATTGTCGTTTCCGTATCATGTATTTGTTATTCATCGGTATGCTTAGTGTGGTGGTTTGTTTTATTAGTTTGTTCGGTTGTTGATGCGTTGTTTTCAGTAATTTACGATATCGTTGTGGGCAACACCAAGTTTATCAACCACTTCTCAACGCCAGAAAACAAAATCGGTAAGGCTAGTTTAATTTTCAAGATTTAAGAAAAAATTTCAAGGTGGGATGATTCCTGCTATTTTCTGGGTGTGGTTCACTAGGACAGAAGGCAACTTCCTCAGGTTTCGCCGCGCGAAACATTTTTCGCTGCGGGTACCTCAGTTCCACCGCTGGGGCCGTAAGGTATGCTCCCCAGAACGGGAGAGGGACCCTCATTCTGGTAAGGTATGCTCTCCACGAAAGCTCTGGGGGAGGCCATACCCACCGGTTCTTGGGAATATCTCCCTCTCCCCGATTGACTTGCAGTCGGGGAGATATCCTCGTGATTGACATGCAAAATAGGATCCCTCTCCTGTTCAAGAGGCATACCCTACGGCCCCTGATCAGGAGTGAACCTAGAGTTCCCGCAGCGAAAAATTTCGCGCCGCGAAATGAGAAAAAGTCGTTTTCTGTCTTAGGGAACCACACATGTATATTTGCTTACAGTAGAAGGGACAATTTTTCAGAAAACCTGAGCGTGGAGACGGCTATCTTAGCAACGAAACCTGATGGCATGAAGGCTAGGAATCCTCTGTACGTACGCACCTATGAGTCCGTGGTTACAGTCAAACCCCAAGATAAGATTGTCAGGTAACTGCATTCCACGGGTGTGGTTCACTAGGACAGAAAGCGACATTTTCGCATTTCGCAGCGCGAAACATTTTTCGCTGCGGGAACCTCGGGTCCACTGATGATCAGCGGTGGACCTGAGGTTCCCGCAGCGAAAATGTTTCGCGCTGCGAAACGCGAAAAGTCGCTTTCTGTCCTAGTGAACCACACCCGCATTCCACACATCCTCCAGTTCCATTCGTAGACAATATTTATAGCGTATGTCTATTAGTATATGATTACTAGTCTATTAGTATTACTGAGTCTATATCTAGTTGACTAGGCCTTGATTAGGTCACAATTATTTTTCCTGGAATGCGCCTTTTCGACGCGATGTCACTATCATCGAAACCGTGGCTTTCCCTGAAGTTGTGGATTCTTCAGCTCAGCTATTTCACCCGACACAGTCAGCTACGTGCATACTCCAAATTATTCAGGACGATGATTTCAATACAAGCAGTGAAAAATATACGAACACGAAGCGCAACTTTTGCGCGTAGGTTGAAGCTGTATTATTGACCAGGAATCTTGTTATTTGTGCCTTCACTTGAAATAATAGCTGTTTGTTCTGGAACTGTTTCATCGCAGATGATGGTAACATTTCTGTAAAAAT